AATTTAAATGGGTCCGTAGAAGTGCAAATGGGCTAGCTGATGGATTAGCAAAACAAGGGGCATTGAGACAACAATTATTTTGGGCTACATTGTAATGAGGGATAAATAGAGTGAGGAAAAGGGATCAACAGTCCCATCATCAAATTGTATAAAATGTTTACAATCTGAATCTGAATTTTAATAAAACACATATTTACTGATAAAAAAAAAGATACAAGTGTAGTAACTTAGTCACATTGTTGTCTCTATGGAAAGGAATCAAAAAAGTGTTTCCACCCTTGATCAAAGGAGCAAGACATTATAAGTGATACATGCAGACTTGCAGGTATGATACTGGTCTGACCTGTGGTGCAGTGACAGACCATTAATTGAAATATTTCCCCTCTATTTAGCAGATGAGCACGGGGTAGTCAAGATCCTGAACTGTTACAGAGAAGACCCTCAAGGCACTATGTAAAATCAAAGACTTAAAAAATCTTAACGATTGAGAATTGATAGATTGTACTTGGCCTTTAAGCATAAGATCAAAGCTAGCAAGTGGATGGTCCACAGCATAAAAAAGTGCTAGTATAGCTGAATGGCCCTTTCTGTAGCATACAAGATACAAGGAATGCCAGAAGTCCTCATGATTAGAGTATAAATAATATCAAGTTTCTGCAGAAATACTACTGCTGCTGCATCAGAGAAGCATGTCTAACAGGGAAACTTTTTTTTTTGGTAAGACTAACAGGGAAACTGCATCCACAGAAAAGTGTCAATGTAATACCATTTTTTATCAATAATGGCAGAATTTATTAAGAATAAGAAACTTTAATTACAAGAGAGGGGGAGGTAAACTTTCTTAACTCCCCCATTTTAGCAAAACAAAAAATACAAGATTAGAAATGAGCCGAAAAGAAAGGTCCCCTATTCACCCCTTGCTTGGCTAACCCATCAGCAAGTGAGTTGGCAGTTCTCTTTACCAAACTGTATTTTACCTCAATGTCCCTAGTCAGCCACTTATTTTTTTTCTTTTCATTGCTGCAGTTCGAGATACCAGAGTTATCTTCCTTTAGCCATCTCACCACCACCTCTGAGTCACCTCCAAAAACCACTTTTCTTAGGTTCAGCTCCCTTGCTCTTTGAGCACCTTCCAGAGCCGCAAGGATCTCAGCCCTAAGGGAATCTCCTTCTCCAATAGGGCCTGGGAACATGGCTATAATAAGCCCCTCTTCATTCCTGAACACTCCCCTTATACCAAAGAGCCCTGGGTTCCTTAAACTACTTCCATCAAAATTCAGCTTCATGAATCCAGGTGGGGGAGAGGTCCAAGAGGGAGAAGAAACCATATTAACTTGGGCAGAATTAGCTATCTCTAACCAATTCCTCATCAAGTCATCCAAGGAAAAAACCGTGAATATGTTCAGAGATTTCAGCCAGTGAGCCACCCTTAAATGTATCAACTCCATTACATTCTCAATGGTTCTTTCCTTTTCTGAGAAGGTACATGAGTTTCTTTCTTCCCAGATAGACCAGCAGACTGCAGCCCTCATACATCTCCACATAATTCTCCATATTTTTAAAGGCCAACTAAAGTAAGAAGGAGAGAATAGGCTTTTTCACATTCAAGGGAGGGGTCCAGCTGCACCGAAAAAGGGAGAAAACTCATTCACATATAATTCTAGCAAATAGGCAAGAAATCAATAGGTGGTAACCAGTTTCCCCTTCAACTTTGCAAAGAATACACCTATGTGGGGATAGACAAGAATTGGGTCTCTTTCTTTGAAGCAGGTCACATGTGTTAATTCTTTCTAGGAATGCTTCCCAAAAAAAACTACCAACCCGAGGAGGAATCTCCAAACCTCTTTAACAGGGAAAGACAGACCACTAGAGGCAGAAGGCTGAGATAAGGTCTCAATGTAATAGCATTCAAAGTTATGGGTCAGTTTGGATGTGCCAAAATGAGTCTCAAAGTGCCTGCCTAAGAACAAGTTAGAAGTAAATAATAGAGCTTTCTAAACTAAGTTTGTCTACCGTAAACCTCATAGTTCATTAATGAGTACAATCTCATCAAATGGAATATTCAACAATTTGTATAGTTGTATATAACTATGAAAAAGGTATACTATTCCACTTCTAAACATATTTAACAAAACCCATATGCAAGCAAAACTATGTACGATAAATATTGTCAAACCAATTTCTGCATATGCTTCACCATATCTGGTTCGCATCATGTGGCTGAAATGTTTATGATCATTAAGGTCAGTTCAAATAATACTGTTACTATTTTCCTTGCACAGATTCTTGCAATGATAGAAATGAAAAGATATGCAAATCAGTTAAGTATGAGCACACAAACGGGTTTAGACTTATTTGGCTTGAGAAGTATGACTGAGTAACATGCATTAGCATCTGGCACTCTTCATGTCTATGCAACACATAACAAGTTACTTAGCAAGTATACCAAACCAGTGCAGGAAGTCTTCCTACCCCCAATGGAGTAGACAAACATCAGTGTTTTGCAGTTGTTATTTTTCTTATCACTGTTTTATAGTCATTAATTCAGAACTAAAAGAATGAACCAGTGCACTACAATAAGATAGCATTCCATATAGAATAACTATAACAGAACCATACCACAAGCTCTTGTCCATCAACATTAAATTTACTTAGCAGACGCAGTGCACGAAGGACACCTTCTGCAGCCTCAAATTCACAGAATCCAAAACCTCTTGGAGTTCCATCACTAGGATCTTGTGCACGTTTCCAACTCTTGACAGGTCCACAAAGCTTCAAAAAATACGGATGCAAAACCCCATAAGAAACAGAAGGGGAAGAAAGAAAGAAAGAAAACTAAATGCAAAGTACTTCAACATTGTAGCTTGTAAAGGATTGAATCAGGAAAATCATCTGTTGTCTAACAATCTAAAATATAAGAAATAAAAGTAACCTACCCGGAGAAGGGAGAGCATAAAATCATTTTCCACAGTTGGTGCTATTTTTCCAACATAAACGGTGGTTTGTGGTTTCTCTGTTGGGGCAACAATAGGAATAACTGGCCTTATAACAGGGGGCACAATCGGTGGAACTCCACGAATCCCTGGAACTGGAGGTCGTGACAATGGAGGAACCACACCAATTGCTCCTGGTGGACGTGGAGGAAAAGCAGGACGGACCATAGTTGTATATGGAGTGGCATAACGTGGAATTCCTGCATGGATGCAAACAATATCTATGCAAACTTGTCAGAGAAAGCCTAGAAACCATATATAATGATCATAGTCTTCCCAATAATTGAACTATTTATTTAAAGAAGAAAAAATTTGACAAGTCAACCAAATGCTTTTACCACACAATACAAGCATATTAGAGATGGGCAGCAAGGCATGGCAACTATCACCAGCTGAACAGATAACCTGAAGGAAAATGGGGAAAACAGCACCCAGCTTATAAACTATAAATGTAAAGTCAGCTTACCTTATATATCTCCTTGAACAATAGTATCCTTCAGAAGTTATCCCAGGCACTAAATGTGAAATTGAGCAATATGAGACATGCAGCGTCTCACTCAAACCAAGGGAGTTGTTGATACAACACTACACTACCATGTTCCATTGCCTTTGAATACCATAGAAGTCGAAAAGAAAAGGGGAAAAAAGAAAGAAGAAAAAGGGAAAAAAAGAACACGGCAATACACTAGAAAAGAAGCAGAAAGATGGACATAATGTAATGGGGAAAAAAGAGATTGCGATACCTTGTAACACAAGCGCAATGAGCACTCAGTTGCTAACATGATATGCTGCCGCAAATCTAAAACTCATGAAGGCCAAAAAGAGAAGTATCCTTATATCTAACAGAAAATAGCTTAGTAGGAGGAAGATGATAAAACCAGCCACTATTTAGTTTCGAAGACTTGAACACTTATATTTACTGCCAAGGACTGACACAGTTGTTGGCATCATGGACTTTGAGTTTTGAATTTCCCGAGTATAGTTTAAATTGCCAAAAATATAAAATAGAAGTTTTCACCATAACAGTGCAACTTTATCAAAATTCAAGAAAACTAAGAGAATTTATTCATACCAACATAGGTGTTGTAGAAGGGGATCTTTAAAGAACCGCAAGATGAAGCCTTCCAACCTTTCACACCGTGATCAATCAAGACACTGTAGGAGAAAACATCCTGTCATCGATACCTCATGCATCCTTTATCTAACGAATAGGATTTTTCACACTCTTTGTGTACCTTTCTCATTCAAGAACTCCGCCCAACTAAAGCCAACCACTACAATGATTACTCATAACCCGTGACACTAAACTCAGGCAACCTTCTCGTTGCGGACGAGAATCTACTCTTCTTTTAGCTGTTCTTCGTCAACAATTAAAAATGTATCTATTGAGCACGTGATCTAGGAAACCAGGCCACAAATAGCCAACCTAGAAGTTATTATGGCCAGGGTCAATATCTAAGAACAACCTATCTTCCAAGTTCGTAACAATTCAATACAATAAAATTAAACCCAGAAGTGTGAATTTTACTATCCACGAAAGACGTGAGCAAGCTAGGAAAAAAAAGGGAAATTTAACATGCGAGAAATCGTCCACTAAACTCCAAACACTTGCTTTTGAGAATAAAAAGTAGATAAGGAAAAAGGATAACAACCCACCAGGAGGAGGTATAGTGCCCTGATGTGCTGGAGCAGGAACAGCCAGGAATCCGTTGGGCATTTGCGAGTAAGGTCTCATGGCAGGATTGGGGGCCTGACCGAGAGGAACCTGGTACATACCGGTGGGACGTAATGGTGAAACTGAGACCGTAACCGAACCGGCTCCGCTTGGCATGCCTGGAAGCATAACTGAAGCAGGGTTCACTCCAGGCGGTTGAACACTAGGGTTCTGAATGCTAGTGCCCTGAAAATTAGGGTTTTGTACATTAGCGTTTGGGAGGGGAGAGAACTGCGGTATCGGCACAGGAACAGGCGCCACGGGACGAAAGGACGGGGCGGGAGGAAGGATAGGTGCAGTAGCGATCGTCGCTGGGGGAAATGATTGGACTGGAGGGGGAATTGATGGAGTTAAAAGAGGATGATTTAAATTGGGATTCTCCGGGGCGGGTTGAGATGCAGCTACAGCTGAAGTCGAAGAAGGCACCGACGGTGCAAGAATGGGAGGAGATGGATCTGATTGATTTGATTGTTGGATTGGTTTCTCGGCTTCTGAGGGCTCTGCTTTGGCCTCTAGGGTTGCGGGAGAGGATGGAGTAACTTCCATTGGAGGGATCTGCAGCACGTTGCGTTCGGGGAAGTGGGCTGTAAGCGTACCCTAAACACCTTTGTCTTGGTCTATTGTCTATTTGATATTCAGATTTTCTCAATGGATTGATTTCCCAAATGCACTCACTGCTGTCACGGTTCTGTTTGCCTTCTGATAAGCTTCGGCGAGAGGGGCGGTAAGAAATAAGAATACAATCACAGAATTGGCATTGCGGGTCGGGTTTACTAAGCTGATACTCAGCTCCGATTATACATGGTCTTCCCGGCAGGGTTTCTTTACAGTAAATAAGATGGAAGGTCAAGATTTTATATTAACTTCTGCACAAGCTGGGTGATCAACTGATCATTGCCTACCCCCTCCCCCTGATCCATCTGGCCCGCAAATTTCCAATCCTGGGCTTATCTTTTGATTCGAAGGCCGGGCTCCTGTATGTCCCATAATGTCTGGGCCCAAAAGGCCCAGCTTATGATACAGATAAGTGCTCGCTTAGGCTGGGCCTAAACTCACATGAAGCCCGTTATACCTAGTGCCAGGCCTAACCCGGTCCATATCTACAACTACAACTACAAGTATGCTCATGCCAAATCAAAGGCGTATGTCTCATGTCTCATGTGGAGAAGATTGTGTAAATAGTAGAGCAGGGAACCCTTATCTCTCCCAACCATGCTATGCTTAAATCCAACTAGACGCATATTTTTGGGCCCAGAAATAAGTTTTTCGTCGAAGCTAATCTGGCCTAGGCCCACATCAGGCCTGTGCACAATGCTGGCTCTACATGTTTCCCTTCCTTTTCCTACCTTGTTTTTTCAAACCAAATACAACCTAAGCTACCTTCTTCTATTTAAAGTACAATGTGTAGCATGAGAATTTAATCAAATATGTTTTTCCCAAGCTATTTGTAGAGGTGCTTTTATAACTTAAAACTATGAATGGTCATGGACTCATGGTAACACTTGTTTTATCACAACCATGTGAATGTTTACATTTATTGATTCTATTAAAAACAATGGTAAACAACAACTTTAGTGTGAGTGTGTGACAATTAGGCTGTGATAGATTATTGATGAGTCGTCATGGTGCAAGATTAGGGGTGCAAACGGATTGAATTTGAATCAAATCAGGCAATATCTAAATTTAAATCCAATTAGAAAATTCAATATCTAGATTTGATTTGATATTCGATGGGTATTGAAAATAAATGTCCGAATTCAAATTTGATTAAATATTTGATTATTTGATTCAATTCAAATTTGTTCGATTAATTATTTAGGTAAATAATAAATATTATAATTATATAAATTATATAGATATATAAGGGTGAATTGTTGAAACCTCTCATCGAGTTTCTAGTTGTTGTCGAAACCTCCCTTGAAGTTTGATAATTGCAATCACCTCCCCTAAACTTTGTGACATAGTTGCAAGTAGATTCCCTTTTGTTAAAATCCTTTAAAAAGAGGCATGAAAAAATCCAAAACACCCATGTAGTTATCTTTCACCAAAATGTTTATTTGTTTTAAATTTTCTCTTCATATGAATTGTTAGTTGAGACCCCTCCCATATCTTTTTTTTTTTAAATTGTTTTGTTTTTCAATTTTGCCCTTTTGTATCAATCACTTAAAGGTAAAGCTTAAATTTTAAATTATCCTTCTTATTGTTATATTTTTCTGTAAAAAAACAACTTCAATAGTAACTGCATGAGTATTTTGAACATTTTCATGCCTCTAGTTAGTGAATTATAACAAAAGGGGGTCTAGTTGCAACTATGTCATGAAGTTCAAGGGAAGTGATTGCAATTATCAAACTTCATGGGAGGTTTTAGTAATTTACCTAGTATATAAATTATTATTATTATTATTATTACTATTTAAATATTTTATATAATGTATATAATAATTAAATAATCAGTCAATATTTGACATTTATCAAATCGAATAGTGTTATATCCAAATTCGATTCAATTATGTCAAAACTCRAATTCAAAATCAATTTCTCGAATACCATTGACATCCCTAAACAATATAAGTAGGATGTTATTCTTCAAAAAGTCTTTTTTCAATTTTCAAATTGTTTCCGTTTTGCTGTTTTTTATTTTTGAAAATGTTATGTGCAACACACATGCACTTTTACTAGTTATTAGACTTGCCTATGGGCCTAGCTTGGGCTTAACTTTTACCAAATATGAATGGGCCAGGCTTGAAGCCCAAGCATGAAACTGTGTACAACTAATCCCCAAGCCCAACATGTGAACAGGTCTACTAGTTATTAGGAATCTACCTATTGAGGCTACAAGGGTATTAACATTTTTTTTCTCCTTCGTTGTATGCAGTAGCATTTTTTTGTTAGTTACGAACAAGGAGGCTTTTTACATTTAAAAGTTGTTGATGTTGATCATTTCCATAATATTTGTAACATGAAAATCCATGCTATGTTTAATAATTATGCTCATCATCAACGTTATTACTTTAGATGAAGGAATACAATTAAGGGTTCGTTTAATTCGTAGTTGGAATCGGAATAGTCCATTCCCATAGTCTGTTTGGTTCAGACAATAATGAAAATGGAAATTAAAATCAGTAGGAATGGGATTCCATTCCCAAGAGAGGGGCAGAGAATGACATTCCAGCAGAAATGGCAATGGGGTTTCAATTCCGGCCAACCAAACAGTTTGAATCGAAATAACCCATTCTGATTCCAATTCTATATTCCTATTCCTGCAAACCAAACGGACCCAAAGTTTCATTGTAAATAGGATTATGTACTGCAAGTTGAAGATAAATACATTGATTGGTATGGTGCCCTGGCATTTTATGACAATCACAATATATATTTGACCTAAACCCTCAAAGAAGCAGGTTTTCAAGTGGCCTCAATTGAAGTGTAATCAAATGTCTTCCTCGTACTAATTGGGAGAGTAACTATCAAAGTGACACTATGAGTAAGGTAAGCCTTCTTATGACTATCATGTCACAAGGGAAAAGCAATATGCTTTAAAATGGAAGAGTTAACTTGCTAATAGTTGTTTGCAACAACACTTCATTTACTATACCAAATGGTAGAGAGTTTACAATTGGATTGAATCTCCCYAAGTGAAAATCTTGTTCAATCATCTTTCCAACAGTGACTATACATTTGAAACACTTGAAATCTTGATGCTTCATGAGTGAAGAAAAATGGGAGCTCACATTATCCGCCCCACAATGCTCCACAGCACATCCCCGTCATGTATTGAGAGCATCTCCCGATGATGACATCATCGGTTCTGGTACCATCATCGGGAGATGTGCCCAATACACGGCAAGGATGTGCTGTAAGGCATTGTGGGGTGGGACGTTTGTGGGGCGGAGATGTGGTCTCAAAAAATGGAGTTTACAACGTCTTCTTGAATGGCTCATTCATCCCTTTTAAAGGCAAATGGATCTAGTCGATCTCCATTGATATGCACACTCAGCAAAAGTTTCATACAATGCTTTACTCGTGCTCTCCAATGTCTCTCTTATCAGAGCCAAATCTATGTCATAATCAAACCAACTAAAGAAACACGTAACCAATTGATTCCAAATTATTTTTCTTATCTACTTCGAGTGGTACAAACCAAGTTAGCGTTTCACCCTCCAAAATTTGCTAAATTTGATGGGAACGCTCTCATCTATCTCAAGCTAACAACCCTCGCCCGTGTACAGGGGGCATTCAAATGTGTTTCATTTCTACAAAATCCATTTTCAATTTGACTACATCATCACAAATGGATGTAGGAATAGTTCGTGATGGCAGATCTGGAATGTTTTCTTTATCCCTTTTTTTTGTAATATTACAAATAAGGTTTTCTTTTTTTAAGAAGGTTTATTGCTTCACGAACAATGTCATTACATTTTTCAAGCCCCTTCATTCATAATTTTCCTTTGTGGAAAGAGTACAAATGCAAATATATACAAAATAATACAAAATTTCGCACTCGTAATTGTGCTCCTTCCAAACTAAGCTTCAAGAACACTGCCTTCAATAGGGACTTAAGGTCCGTTTTGTTCGAAATTAGAATTAGAATCAGAATAATTTATTCCCCAAGTCTGTTTGATTCAAAGAGAAATTGAAATGGACATTGGAATCAATCAGAATGGGATTTGATTCCAAAGGGGAAGGGGAGATTCCATTCCATTAAAAATGGGGATGGCATTCAGGTTCCACCCAACCAAACAATTCGAATCTGAATGGCCCATTATGATTTTGATTAATTTACGTCCTCTGTCCCTTTGTACCAGGCCAACAGCAGTTTGCAACACTAGGCTATTTTTCCATTTTAAACTTAAAAGTGATTTTTAAAATGATATAGCAGGTTGGTATTGATATAGTACCCCCAAAAAAAATCTGCACAAAGGGGATAGAAGATGTGAACTCGTTATTGTAAGGCCTTAGAGTTTCATTCTTATATCTCTATTTTTTTTTCACTTAAAAAGGCAAGTTTCGTTTTTTCCATCTATACTTGTTGAATCAAAGGCACCATTTTTTTTCCAAAAAGGAGTGATATATTATATCTAAATTTTATATGAACCATAAAAAATATGTAATGTAATAGAAAAATATATAAGATGAGTAAAAAAGCAAGTGTACTCTAACACATATCTTTTAAAACCGTATCGGTCAGTGATATGGTTATCGGTTCAAATGGTTTGACGGTTCGTCCCAAACGACCAGCCCATTTTGACAAAAAAATTTAAAAAAATCAAAAAATGGTCAAAAGCGTTCGAATCGTTTGAACGGTTCAGCGATTTGCTGACCAAAATCAACAGTTTTGGGGAAAAATGAAACCAGTCAAGTGACCAGTTCCTGGTTTTTCAGTCCGACCATTCGGTCTGGTTTTGAAAACCATGCTCTGACATATACGAAAAAAAAAGGAGGGGGGAATTCAACTTTAGTACCCTGAATTTTGGGGGTAGTGTCAAGTTAGTACCCGAGCTTCCAAACGTGTCATTGTAGTACCTAAACATTCAAAAAGTGTCAAGTTGGTCCCTATTGTTAATCGACTGTCAGTTATCTGTTGAAAATGTCAAAACTACCCTTCAAAAGAAAAACATTGTTCATTGTCTTCTACCTTGAGACTGAATCGGTTATCTTCAAAGAAAAATAGAGGAAAAAAATACATGAAATATGGTAGAGGGAAACAATAACTAAAAGCAAATAAATAACTAAACAATAATGTGTTTCAAACCTAAAGGTAGAAGACAATGTCTTCATTAGTCTATAATCTCAAATACCTCAATTGGTTCAGTCTCAAGTAGGGGTGGCAATTTTTCACCCAACCTGCTCATTTAAATGGTTGGATTGTGGATTCGTTAGCCTTTTTTTTTATTTTCTTCATTTGAACTAAATAATTTATAATTAATGCATTAATCTTCTATTAACTATTGACTAAATTTAGTTTTGTCTTGAAGCAACACACTTCACCCAACATAAATCCAAGTCAATTTAACCCGAGCCCAATTCAGTTCAATGCATATGACCCGATCCAACATATGTCGATACGGGTCGACCCGAATCTGAATAGACATCGGGCAAGATGGTTCGGTACCGCTTGCTTTGCCCGATCTGGGTCATCTGGTCTAATCAATATTTACACATACCTGGTACAAGCCGGTCTGGGTTGACTTGAGTTCGAAATGGTTTCGAGCAAGATGGCTCAGTGCCTGTGTGTTTGCTTGGTTTGGATTGTCTAACCCGAACAATATCTTCATAAACTGACCCGAATATGGACCGTTCTGATTTGCTTACAYTGACCCGCTCCGGGCCAGTCGATTTGGTCCCAAACCCATACACAAACCTGATGTGATTAGCTCGAAGATAATCCAATTAGATAGTTCAAGTTGGTCTGACCGATTTGAACCTAAGTGGTTCGATCAATCTCGAAATTTGAACATAGTCAAATGGCTTTGCCGCTTGTGTAAAAATAACATGCATGTAATATGATTTGAACCTTCACCACTTGTGTAAAAACAACATGCATGTAATGTGATTTGAACCTTACCACCAAGTTATGACCAACTTATTTGTTAAGAGAGAGTTAGTTTGTTTTTTTTTTAAGTTCATAAATATAAGATTAATGGGTTTGGGCGGGCTGGATTGGGTTAAAAAGGGTCTGGGTTGAACCAACCCATTTAATTTTATATAACTAGGTCATTAATGGGTTGGCGGGTTAGATGGGTTGGATTGAAGCTCAACCCGAACCAAACCCAATCAAACCCGCCCAATTGCCACCGCTAGTCTCAAGGTAGAAGACAATGAACAACGTCTTCTTTTGTAGGATAGTTTTGACATTTTCAATAGATAACTAACGATCGGTTAACGACATGGACCAACTTGAGTGTTTTTTAAAATTTAGGTACTGTAGTGGCACGTTTAAAAGTTTAGGTACTAACTTGATACTACCCCAAAGTTCAGGGGTACTAAAGTGGAATTTTCCCCAAAAAATATAACAAAAATGGCATGTACAAATAGTGAAAATACTGATCTGCTCACCGCTGAACTAGGGGAAAAGCGATCCAACCTCTTGAGACCAAATCAGCCCCCCCACAAGATTGCCCCCACAACGTCCCACAGTACATCCTTGTCGTGTATTGGGAACATCTCCTGATGATAATCTCATAAATGATGTTGTCATCGGGAGATGTTATCAATACACGACAGGGATGTACTATGGGACGTTGTGAGGGGCAATATTGTGTGGGGGGGGGGTGATTTGAACTTCCAACCTCTTATCCAACTTTTAAAATATTGATTAGTGCCTCGTTTGGGAGGGTTTTGCTGCTACAACTTCGGTTTACGATATTGCAAGATACGCCCACCACATAAAGCCAGGAAGTTGCTTTTGGCGAAAACCTGCAAAAGTCAAAAAAATATTATTGTTGGGCTAAAGATTCAACTTTCCAACTCACATAGCACTTCTCACACTGACCTCACGGTATGCACCAGTTGCACATGGAGAACATCTTTCGTAATAGCAACCTAGTAAGTTTTTATTCATAGAAGATGTTCTCAATACACAATGGGATTCGATGTAGGGACTTGTGTGAGTAGGAGATCCCAATTCTCTGGTGAAGATAGTTTTAGGTATAAAAGCCATTCAAAATAGCTTAATCAAGGAAGTAACCCTCGCAAATAGCCTCTTAAGCTCTCATCGACAGGGATCTTGTCAACTCAATTGTAGTTCATTCCATGCCAACAGAATAACTTGATAAAGTCTAGATTTCCTATCCACACGACAACTCTACCCACACCTATCCATATAAAATTGCAATCACACATGGGGAACATCTCATCCTCCAAATATAGTTCGTTCCATGCCAATAGAATAAATTGATCGAGTCCAGATTTCCTAGCCATGACAACTCTACCCACACCTATTCATATAACATCGCAATCACACATGGGGAACATCTCATCCCCTTACATGTCATCATGCATAGCGAGATGTTTCCAAACCACAAAGGTAGTGTTTTGTGGGTAGGCATGGATTGTGTTTAGAACCCGTTGTTGATCCAGCCAATTGAACCACTTGAACCATCACCTGATCAAGATTTTGGGTCTGATTCAAGTAAAATTAAAATTAAATTATAAAATATAAATTAAATATAAAATAATACATATATTACATATAGAATATAATTATACATTTTGTATTGATAAAATATATGTTTATAAACATTTATATATATATATATATATATAAATACTTACGGTCTCACCCATTAAACCTGATCAATCGAACTGATGACCCGCGACCCTGAGGCAAAACCGGTTCAACTTCCTGATCGGATTTTAAAACATTGGGCGTGGCCGCATGGGTAGAGTTCTTGTGGGCGGAGATCCGGACTTCCGGAGTCAAATTGACCTAAACACCCTCTACACACTGATCGAAAAAATTCGGACTCGGTTCGATATCTTATCGAAATTGTGATTCGCGAAGATTCGGAGTCGGATCGATATCTTATCCAAATCGTGAGGTTCTGAGATCTCATCAACGATTACATTTTCTGACAGCGCGCATCTCGTCCAAAACCTTATCCCTCGGTCAGCTCTCACTGTCTCTCTGTTTCTGCAACTTTTAAGCACTGCTGCTTTGCWCTACTTCAGATCATATAATTTCTCTTCTAACCCGTCTATCTTACCGTGGGATCCTAATTTACATGGCAGCCATTCTCTCCTCCCACTTATGCTATTCTCTCGCTACTTCGAAACGCGCCCACTCGAGGATATCGACGAAACACACAGCATGCGATTGGATTCCACGGTTTAAAGTTCAATGTTCTTCCCAAAAACATCACCGATTTCAACTCGATCACAAACAGGTAATCCTTTATATCCCATTCGGCTTCGAGAACCCCTTTTCTATCCATGATTTTTTTTTTCGGTAATAGTTATCTATTTCCAGTCAAATTTATTAATTTATTAATTACTTCTGCTTTTCGAACCCATGGAATCCACAAATTGTTGGTGAAAGTAGAGAGATTTCCTTGGTGATGGTTTTCACGAGGGTTTGAGTTTTGTTATTAATTAGTAATATCAGCTAAGTTATTTTTGTACTACATTGCGTTGTTGAGCAGAAAGAGAGCTCTTTCTCCTTAAAGGAATGTGCAGTTTCTATAGCATTGGCGTTTGGATTGGTTACGGGTACACCATCAATGGATTGGTTTGCTTACGCTTCTCCGACTGGTCCAGCCCTGCCTGATGTTTCGGTGTTGATTTCTGGACCGCCAATTAAGGACCCGGGAGCGCTGTTGAGGTACGCCTTGCCCATCAACAACAAAGCTATCAGGGAGGTCCAGAAGCCCCTCGAGGATATCTCGGAGAGTCTGAAGGTCGCTGGGCTCAAAGCTTTGGATTCTGTGGAGCGAGTAAGGATGCTCAAGCTTCTTTGCAAACTAGTCTGTTATTTTTATTCTTTTTTCAAATCCATCTAATGTCGATAGTTTTAATTGGATTTTAATCTGCGAGATATATGAGTTAGAATCTAAGAGGTGTATTTTATCTATTTGTGAATGATAGAATGTGAAGCAGGCCTCTCGGGCTCTTAAGCAGGGGAGAAGTTTGATTCTCTCTGATGTCGCCGAGTCAAAGAAAGAAAAAGGGAAGGAATTGCTTGACAAGCTGGAACTTGGGATGGAGGAGCTTCAACAGATTGTGGAGGACAGGAATAGGGATGCTGTTGCACCTAAACAAAAGGAGCTGCTTCAGTACGTCGGAGAGTAAGTCAATGGCAACTGATTTTAGAAAGAGTTGTTCTTTACTCCTGCATATAGCTACTGAGACACTTGGGTGGATGCTTGCATCCTTCGTGGGAGTATTGAAATTCAACTAATTCTGAATGGCTCTCCACAGCACATATAGCATTTGGAGCATGTCAAAAATGTGCACGAAGTTTCACTATACACATTGATAAATCAAGTGGCAAAGGATGGTTTGTAATTACAAGATAATAAATAAGACGTTTCTCCTGATCTATTATATTTACAGTTAGATACCGATGTTCTGGTCCAGGTAGAAGCAATACAATGTATTTTGATAAACCAAATGCTCAGGTTTGTCATGATTGCATAGATGTGTCACTCAGAATTGAAGTTCACCATGGGTACATAGATGTGTACCTTTTTCTTGTATATTTGATATGTGGACTTGTATAAGTTGTTTGATGACATTAGCTGAGTCTCTGCTGATTCTTTTGTGCTTTCCATATGGTCAATGATTATTAAGGATGATTTGCTTCTGTGAGAAGTATATCTTATATACAGCCTTGTCATTGACTGCAGCTGAAATCTTCCTGGGGCATTGGATTTCTGCAGTGTTGAAGAGGATATGGTGGATGGGTTCCCTTATGATGTGCCCGAGGAGTACCAAAGCGTGCCTCTTTTGAAAGGAAGAGCAACTGTGGATATGAAGGTTAAGGTCAAAGACAATCCTAATTTAGATGAACGTGTATTCCGTATAGTGCTAGACGGGTACAATGCCCCTGTAACAGCTGGAAACTTCGTAGACTTGGTGGAAAGGCACTTTTATGATGGGATGGAGATTCAAAGAGGTAACATCTTTATTGAATTTATTGTCATTACCTCAGCTTTTCAAACAGAAAATTAACCAGATAGCAGAACAGAAAATATCTTGTGAACTACATTGGGGATTATAATTAGGTAATTTAAATTCCATGAGACATGGGTTATTGATGACATCAACTGAGAGATGAAAATGTCGGGATCAAGTTCGAAGGCTGGTGTATGATGGAGCTTGTGAGCTCTTCAGTCAATAATGTATGATTAGCATCATTATCATACAAGCATTGTTCCAATTATATGGGGTCGGCTACATGAATCCCGTTCTGCCATTTCGTTCTTTTCAGTGCAATACATACATATCGCATGCATTCTACTTTGCATATAACCAACTATATGTTAAATTTCTCAACTAGGCTTAAAGGTTTACTTGGATTTTGCTGCAGCGGATGGCTTTGTAGTTCAAACTGGAGACCCTGAAGGTCCTGCAGAGGGTTTTATTGATCCTRGTACAGGAAAACCACGCACAATTCCATTAGAAATTATGGTCAATGGAGATAAAACACCTGTTTATGGCACTACTTTAGAGGTAAATCTCTCTCCGTCTCTGTCTCTCTGACAGGAAAACTGGGATCTGATTTTCAAGTCCTAGATATAACTTAAAGAGTCTTTTCTTCTCTCAAGGGAATTCATCTGCTCTTACCCCATCCTGTCAGACATGTTTATATGTCACATTCTCTTTGATTAAGTCTCCACTAACTTAATAAAGTATTAGAGGATCCAGTATCCCACAACTGCTACTTTGTAAATTACTAAATTAAAAAAAAAAAAAGACTCCACTGTTGGGTTGAATAGTTCAATATCCTAGCAATTTGCTCACTGCTTGTGATGTCCTAGCATTCACTCTGTGCATCACTATGCATGTCATCATTTAATACCAAGAACCATCCTGCTTACATTCATTAACCCATTTCCATCTTGAACTATTAAATCTTGTTGGAGCTGTTATGTTTGCATATCCATATTTCATGTTCTTTGTTATGCTTGCAAGGAAAAACCTTGTTAGCTTTCATCACATACATTTCTTATTTGTTCTTGCAATGCTAGTCTCATCCAATGGGATCCAATTCATTTTAATGCATTTCTACAGGAGCTTGGTCTATACAAAGCTCAAACAAAGCTTCCTTTCAATGCATTTGGAACAATGGCCATGGCCAGAGATGTAAGTATTCATTCTCACACCCATTCTGGCAATTTTTTAGCTCTGGTTTATTTGTTGATTTATTTTTCTACCCTGTATACTTTTTGAGACAGGAATTTGAGAACAACTCTGCCTCAAGTCAGGTGTTCTGGCTTTTGAAAGAAAGTGAATTGACTCCTAGTAATGCAAATATATTGGATGGTCGGTATGCAGTTTTTGGATATGTTGTAGATAATGAAGATTATTTGGCAGATGTCAAAGTTGGAGATGTTATAGAGTCAATTCAAGTTGTCTCCGGCCTGGAAAATCTAGTCAACCCAAGCTACAAGATTGCAGGTTGAGTCTCTCTGAAATCTTTCAGGTAGATGTCAATTGAGAGCCCATGTTTTGACCATGAATTCCCATAAATCCTTTGTTGGTGGGCGATGTGGGTCTTTGGACCATGACTTTTCGTTCGTTATTGAATTGAGTAGCTTTGTACCAATTAATTTTCTTTCTCACTCTTGAGCCCAACTGTGTGTAATGTTTTTCTTTTTGAATTCAATATAGTTATTTATCAGTTAATTTCTTGAGTTCAATAGCATTTGATGTTGAGTTTTGTTTGGAACAATCATCAGGGAAAATTTTTCAAGTTTGATAATCTGATCTTAGTTCGGTGCAAGCATTCAGAAAAACTCATGAACATATAACTGTACAAAACTCACCAATGAACATGGGTATAAGTTATTCTTCTCATGGAAGGGCAAAGGATTCTTGGCCTTCAGCACGTATGGAGGATTTGAACTCCATTATAAGGGAATAAGGAAGGTAAAGTCCAATTTATCCTTTTTTTTTCTATGGAAATTTATGGTTTTCCCCAATGTATTGTTCCAAACCCCCCACTTGTGCTATAGTACCCCTTGAATTGTGATAAATCCCCACACTTGTCATTGTGCCCAACTATACAAACTGTAAAAATTTCTAAGGTGGAGGAATCAATAAAACCCCCCTTTTACTATTGGGGGTGGAGTTAGGTTTTGTTGCTGCCAAAGATGAGGTTGAGAGAAACACGAGAATTTTGCTGGTGTCCAAAGGCCGATTGGTCGGACCTGTAAGCAGGGGAAGAGTTCATGTCAAAGGCCCTGAGTGTTATCTCAGGGGTAGAGATTTTGACAGTCAAGTTAGCCAAGTGCTAGAGAGGGCTCGTACTAGGCTTGAGACGATGGCTCGGAGCTTAATCCTTAACAGCCAAGGATAATTCTCTTGGGATTCTGAATGCAAGAGAATCAAGCGTCATTACCTTGAAATGAGCACCCCTTTTTATGGCTGACCTTGCCTTGGAGTGATTGGAGGTAGTTGGCGATGTGCAGCTAAGATTTAATTTGCCAATGCCACATGACGTGATTTGAGGCCTGTCAATTATACCTACATCAGGTTTGTATCTATAAAACCAACATCTAAGGTGTAGGACATTGACAAAGTCAATCAGTCCTCCCCAAATAAATCATAGATAAAGAAATATGACACCATGTGATGGGGTGTAAAAATTGATTTTTTTTTTAATTTTAAATGAAAAACACAAAATTCTAAAGCCATTGCGAATCTAAAGAGAATAAGATGACGTAAACAAATGCATTTTAGAATATAGTATACGGGTTTTAGACTATGATATTGGAAAAACTTACAACAAATCAACTAAAGCTAGATGTGATATTCATCAAAATTCGCATGGTGCTTTGATGGGTTAAAGCTCTTCTCATACCATGTCTTTTCATGTTATAGATTTTTCCTAATATAAATGAGAGAAAAAAACATAAAGGGGGATCTCCAAGAAATTTACAAAAAGTACTTTTCCTCAACGTTACTTTCTATCAAAAGTAGCACAGCCTAAGGCACATTGTCAATATCGGTGTCTTCAAAACGGTTCGGAAGATAAATATTCAACCTAAGATTCAGACTTTTTTTTGGTTTCTCTTTGAAGAAAAAGCTCCTTGCATTGAGGGATAAAGGCTGAAATAATAATACTGCGGTCAGTACATAGACAACCCATTTACTAAAACACCCCTATAGTTTGCAATCAATTTATTTAATCAACACATAAGAACCATTAATATCACCCTCTAAAAGTGTTGGTTTGACCATCTAAGTGGATTAGAAATTATTGGACATGGGTCTGTTGTGGTTTATTTCAAAAGTATCTCTAATATTTCATATCAAGCATTTAAAAAGAAAACCTTAACCCACAACAGAACTTTATTGGAGAAGACACTGTGCTGCTTCAAGTAGGTAGCATTTTCTGAACCCCATATTTTATTTATAATAATAGATTTAGAATGTACACAGTACACACAATCATGGTAATATTCTCCTTTTCGTGCAGTGATAATAGTATCATAAGGTTATGTTTGGTTTGAAAGAAAATGTGTGGAAAGGAAAGGAAATGAAAGAAAAAAGTAGAAAAACCCATACAAGGTTTGTAAAGGTTTTCTTGCATTTTCTTTCCTTTTCCTACTTTTTCCTTCAAACCAAACACAACCTAAAGAATTGTTTAAAGTAGAAAAATGACGAATTTTAATGTCAAAATTATAATTTTTCCACATACAAAATGGTTATATGGAATGTTTAAACAAACAACAAATTATAAGATATGTTTTAATAAACCTATGAAACTATATTGTTTTAACAAATAACCTTAATGAGAAACATACATTCATATTATTCATTGACTGTATTTTGCCAAATAGATATATTCTGATGATGCACAATCCGGCCGGTCTTAGCTGTCAACGACCTTGCCTCTGAACTGAGTGGCAGGGGACCTGAAACGGAGGGGGTGAAGAAGCTCCGGGGAGAACCCGGCGTAAGGGCTCCGAAACTCAAGTTAGAATCCTTCAAAGGCAAGATAAGC